TATATCCCGTTCAAATAAAAGCAGGTGTGTAGGTATTAAAAAAACTTTAATTTCAAGTTCAAATAACAACAGATGTGTAGGTATTAAAAGAATAAATGTCACGTTCAAATAACAACATGTGTTTAGGTATTATAAAAACTTAAAGTCACGTTCAAATAACAACGGATGCGTAGGTATTAAAAGAATAAATGTCACGTTCAAATAACAACATGTGTTTAGGTATTATAAAAACTTAATGTCACGTTTAAATAACAACAGGCGTGTAGGTATTACAAGAATAGATGTAACGTTCAAATAACAACATGTGTGTAGGTATTAAAAGAATATATATCCCGTTCAAATAAAAGCAGGTGTGTAGGTATTAAAAAAACTTTAATGTCAAGTTCAAATAACAACAGATGTGTAGGTATTAAAAGAATAAATGTCACGTTCAGATAACAACATGTGTTTAGGTATTATAAAAACTTAATGTCACGTTCAAATAACAACGGATGCGTAGGTATTAAAAGAATAAATGTCACGTTCAAATAACAACATGTGTTTAGGTATTATAAAAACTTAATGTCACGTTTAAATAACAACAAGCGTGTAGGTATTACAAGAATAGATGTAACGTTCAAATAACAACATGTGTGTAGGTATTAAAAGAATATATATCCCGTTCAAATAAAAGCAGGTGTGTAGGTATTAAAAAAACTTTAATGTCAAGTTCAAATAACAACAGATGTGTAGGTATTAAAATAATAAATGTCACGTTCAAATAACAACATGTGTTTAGGTATTATAAAAACTTAATGTCACGTTCAAATAACAACGGATGCGTAGGTATTAAAAGAATAATTGTCACGTTCAAATAACAACATGTGTTTAGGTATTATAAAAAACTTAATGTCACGTTCAAATACCAACGGATGTGTAGGTATTAAAAAAACTTTAATGTCAAGTTCAAATAACAACAGATGTGTAGGTATTAAAAGAATAAATGTCACGTTCAAATAACAACATGTGTTTAGGTATTATAAAAACTTAATGTCACGTTCAAATAACAACGGATGTGTAGGTATTAAAAGAATAAATGTCACGTTCAAATAACAACATGTGTTTAGGTATTATAAAAAATTAATGTCACGTTCAAATACCAACGGATGTGTAGGTATTAAAAGAATAAATGTCACGTTCAAATAACAACATGTGTTTAGGTATTATAAAAACTTAATGTCACGTTCAAATAACAACGGATGTGTAGGTATTAAAAGAATAAATGTCACGTTCAAATAACAACATGTGTTAAGGTAGTACAAGAATAAATATCACGTTCAAATAACAACATGTGTTTAGATATTAAAAGAATAAATGTCACGTTCAAATAACATACGTGTAGGTATTAAGAAAATACATGTCACATTCAAGTAACAACAGGTGTATAGGTATTAAAAGAATAAATGTCACGTTTAAATAACAACAGATGTGTAGGTATTAAAAGAATAAATGTCACGTTCAAATAACAACATATGTTTAGGTATTTTAAAAACATAATGTCAAGTTAAAGTAACAACAGATGTGTAGGTATTAAAAGAATAGATGTAACGTTCAAATAACAACAAGTGTGTAGGTATTAAAAGAAGAATAAATGTCATGTTCAAACATCAGCAAGTTATATATGTTATGCTAGTTCTGTAAATAGGTAAAGCTAATAGAAAAGAATTGAGACGACACTTGCTGTGTGCTATTGTTCTCCCAATCAGCATGCACGACTGTTTTACCTACTCTGAACAACAAGTGGTGGCAAAAGGACGAGACCCCAATAAACCACCCACTGCCCTGGGTACTGTTCCACACAATGAATGCCTGCCAGGGATTCATCCACTGAATAGACAACTAAAGGCATTTTCAATGTTGTTACTAATAAGGCATAAGCTGACATCAGTTCTGTACACGGAGGAGCAGTCGTAATGCGATTAAAGAATCCGAGGCGCCGGTGTCACGACATATATTCGCCCCCAGAATAAAATCCCCCCCCCCCCGGCGAATTTATACCGGTACAGTTCCGCCCCTCTCGAAATAAACTCTCCCCCACCCTACGAAATAAAATCTCCCCCAAGAATATTTCTCCCCCCGGTCGTATTATAAATACTTGCCATGCAGTTTAATAGTTGCCCCCAAAACCACAAAAAATCCTAATACTTACCGACTCCCTAAGTGGACTGCAAGCCCTCCAAAACAAAAATACCAAAAACCGACCTAAATTAATAAACCAAATACTTAAAAGCTCAAACGACCTAACTAAGGCAGGCAAACAAATAACCTTCTTGTGGATACCCGCCCACGTAGGAATATACGGTAATGAAAACGCCGACAAAGCAGCTAAACTATCCCTCAAAATCCCAGAAATAAGCTTAAACTTACCCATCTCAAAATCAGAAATTAAAAGTGTAAAAAAGCAAAAAATCACAAAAAATGGCATAACCTATATCTAAATTCAAATAGCCAAATCAAAAAAGTGCTCAGCAAACCACTAACCAAACCAAAAATTCTCCATCCATCAAAAAAAATCGACAGAGTAATCACTAAACTCCAAACAGGACACACCAACCTAAATAACAACCTAAAACAAATAAAAAAACACACTACAGGCAACTGCCCACACTGCAAACAACTAGAAACCCCAGAACACGCACTCATCCACTGTACACACTACCTAACACATCGAACCGCATTACAAACCACCCTCAATCTAAACAAGGCTCTCACTCTAGAAGCAATACTAAACCCACAAAATAAACTAGAAAACTTCAAGGCCTTAGGCGTATTCTTAATCAAAACGGAACTAATAAAACGCATCTAAAAACACAATAACCTACCAAATCAAAATCACATAAACAAACAAACATCCACCATACCCAGCTCCCTTAGTTCTCCTCCCCAATCCCATCGGCATCTATTCCAAATCTCAAAATTCCCAAATTCTATATAAGCAACCCCTAAACCCCCCTCTTGGGTTGCACACACCACTTTCGCCCCTTTCGGAAACACATTAAATGGCCTGGCCGGGCCCGTGTACGAAATACGCATCTGTCGGAAAGCGTACGTTAAATCTCCAAAGTAAGTACGTAAGTAAACGCTCAGCTGCCCACTAACCAAACCAAAAATTCTCCATCCATCAAAAAAAATCGACAGAGTAATCACTAAACTCCAAACAGGACACACCAACCTAAATAACCACCTAAAAAAAATTAAAAACATACTACAGGCAACTGCCCACACTGCAAACAACTAGAAACCCCAGAACACGCACTCATCCACTGCACACACTACCTAACACATCGAACCGCATTACAAACCAACCGCATTACAAACCACCCTCAATCTAAACAAGGCTCTCACTCTAGAAGCAATACTAAACCCACAAAATAAACTAGAAAACTTCAAGGCCTTAGGCGTATTCTTAATCAAAACGGAACTAATAAAACGCATCTAAAAACACTATAATCTACCAAATCAAAATCACATAAACAAACAAACGTCCACCATACCCAGCTCCCTTAGTTCTCCTCCCCAATCCCATCGGCATCTATTCCAAATCTCAAAATTCCCAAATTTTATATAAGCAACCCCTAAAGCCCCCTCTTGGGTTGCACACACCACTTTCGCCCCTTTCGGAAACACATTAAATGGCCTGGCCGGGCCCGTGTGCGAAATACGCATCAGTCGGTAAGCGCACGTTAAATCTCCAAAGTAAGTAAGTAAGTTAATAGTTGCCAAACACTTCTGATAGAGACGATGTTGAGAATGTGGAGTGAAAAGGGCTTCACTTTGAGCACTGTGTTTTCTTTAACTACCGCAATATGAGAAAATAAAGTGGTATATAGGTAGATATTACTTCCTTACTTACTTATATTGGAGATTTTACGTGCGCTTTCCGACTGCAGCGTATTTCGCACACGGGCCCGGCCAGGCCATTCAACGGAGATATGATGTTTTCTTATGAAATATCGCGTATTAGTGTAATTTGCATGCTTTAGCATTCATTGTACCATTCTAAACCATGTGAATGTTGTGATATCAGTCAATCGGGTGGGAAAACCGCCCAATCCTCGCTCTATAAAGGACTATGTCAATCATTTTGCAAGTTGAAATGACCCCTGATACTTTATGAATACTTTATAACAGTTTATGGAGTCAAAATCAATGCTGATTATTCATAAACTTAATGCTTCGTACTATAGGCCTGTGGCCTCTTCAGTGCTGAATAAAGATTGAAAATACATCAGTCAATCAAAGATGAAGGTAACTTTATACATCAGAGTTCTTGAGAATTACTTCATGTTTTGTTCTTAGACTAACATTTCAACCATCGATTGTGTTCACATGTAGACTCAAACTGATGTCTTAAAAATATGTATACAGACAACAACTGTATTAGAAACAACAAACTCTGGGGGGAGAATCTGTACCGGTATAAAATCTCCGGGGGGAGAATTTGTACGGGGGTGAGTTTATACCGGGACACCGGCCCGGAAATTGAACTTATGCAGCGCGTAAAACACAAAAACACGTTTTTACCCTCGCGAGGGGAAACCCTTCAGGGGCGGAATTTTTCGTTTGGGGGACGCTTTAGCCTGTCATTTTTAATCGTCTGTTTTACGCTATTTCTGTTTTTCAAATTTAATCTTGGTCAATCATTTGTCATAACGTGTGCCCTCAAGTATTTAAATCTGCAAAGTTGCTATGATGAGTTCACGTGCCCTTTAAGGGAGTCAAATAGTGCGTGATTAATTAATTGAGCTTTAATATGATCCAGAGGATTTCTTGATATATATGATATATGTTTTGTACCATGTACTCAGCACCATTACAATAATATGACGGCACTCGACAATGTTACAGAGGGAATGGGAATATGAGGTGAGGTGAAATTTCACCATGAATATCCCACTCAGAAACAGTATACTGACTCCGAGCCGACCAATCCTTGTTCTAGCTCTTTAGTGCCGAGCGCCAAACAGGGTAACAAGAAGTACCATCTTTTAACGTATTTTGGTATAACGAGGCCAGGGATCGAACCCACGACTTCCGCTCTCCGGGCAGACGCTCTTTCCACTAGACCACGGAGGCTGCCGGAAGGAGAATGTAATTCTTTAATAGTATGATTGATTACCTGTAAAAATCACAATTCTCTGCCATTGGGTTATGAAATAATACATATGCATGAATATAGTGAAAATATACAAAATACATATTTTCAGCCTGTGATTTCGCAAAATGAAGAAAATGTCTTTAGACATATTTGAATTTACCGCCGGAAAAGCTTTTGGACAAGTAAGCGATTTTTTAATCATGAAGGCATGACAACGTTTCAGGCATCTGACAAGGCTTGACGAATTTTCCCCAATGTCGTTCTTGCCCAGTGAATTAATAGAGGCGAGTGCTTTTGTTATCTTCATGCCACTAGACAGAGAGATCCACGCATTGGAGCGTTGTAGCCGAACTATGTGTGTCTGAACAGTATTTCAGAGTGGTACCGTTTGATGATAGCACTGGTTGATTAAATCTTAATCTGGATTTTTCCTCGAATAAACGGTTATTGCATAGTTTTCAAACCCAATGGCAAATGCAGACGCCAAGAGCATCATTTACACATTTCTATCTATCCATGTTTCCCAAGTGTTGTCAGGGTCGATATCAACGGGTCGTGATCGTTCGAAGTATAACTGACAGATGTTGGTCGTGTTCTGGTAGCTGATTGACCTGCAACTGATCCTGCCCCGACAACTCACGATGCACTTAAACCTAGAGTTGGACGTCAATGAAGACAGCATTTGGCGTGTACTCCAACCATTAGGCACCACCCGCTCAAAGTAGTTCCCAGCTTTGCCATCTAAACAAAGCATACTAATGTTAACATAATTTTCTTTTCTAAAATGTTTACAATAAAAGAAATAATTATCATTTCATTAAGCTTAGTTTGCAAAATTAGTTAACTCTGCTTTCTGCATTCAATGAGAACTAAGCTGGAAACTCACATTACTTTATATGGGTATATAATCTTTTCCTTTGCCTTTTGACATCACATACTATGAGAATAAATAACGAGGAATTATGGTTTATCGATCTCAACGGAATTAATGTCGTAGATGACCGAAGCGAACGAGGAATCTATGACATAATTGATGGAAAGATAAACTGTGTTTCGAGTTGGTTATTCTCTTTCTTAGCCATAATCAAATTTACTGCAAACATCCCAAGCGATCCCATCCCTGGCTACGGTTGTAGCGGTTGTAGCTCAAAACAAATGTACCCCGAAGCAACAATAAATAAGCAACCTTTTCACGACACATCGGATTCTGTAAAATAGCTCGCAATAACCATTCAGATTCAGTATATTTGTATCACTTACATTTATACAAAAACAAGATGCAAAACGTAAGAAACGTGTTGTAGAATATAACTAATTAACTATAACAAATGCAAGTTAACAATTTTATAACTCAACATCAGCGAGTGCGAGAAAGTTAAAGTGGGTCACACGTTTTGACGTAACGGTACTGCGGCTCATGAAGCCAATTTTAAAGTTTTCGAATATGAACAAATTGATGCCAGACATGCATATCGCCACTGGATGATGGATGGATATGGAATATCTATCAAGTAGCAGTTATTTATCCGGAATAATAATCCAGAATTATGCGACGTCTCACTCCATATCAGCACGTGGATGATAGACTGAAAGAAAAGTAAAAGAGACCCGGCGACCAACGCGAAATGTATAGAAAAGCCATAATTCCCAAGAGAATTATACCCCTTATCCAGCTTATGGGTAAGTAACGAATACAGAATATGGATATTTATAGTAAACCATAACAAGTCGCCAGATGTTTAACAGTAGAATATTCCAAGTTTGTGAAATATGCTTACAGATGATATCCGTGTGTTGAGTGTTCTGCTTTTAAACTGAAGTATTGTAATTCAATATTGTCCTAAAAAATGAACTGGTTAGATCGATCGGAAAACTTAAGTAATACTTATATATACTTCGTTTAAACCCACGTCTTGTTGGCTTACATCGTTGTGGTTAAAAGTCGACAGCAGGAAATAGTCACAAAATATCCTGAAAATGTTTTCTATAATATAACCTTGGAAGAATATATTTTCAAAAGTTCCTTTTTTTGCAAATCTCATTACTCATTTTTGGTGACTGTAAATCAAACGTTTCGTAGGGCAATCCAACCATTTTACTACCTGGAACATAACAATTTCAGGACACATATCTGTTCAGAGCTGTTGTTTGGCTCTACGTACCGAATTCCCAGTCAAATACATCAGGATAAGTGGATCCAACTGCCAAATACTGGACATCAAAGTCCCTTTGCTCATTGGTAAAGATGAAGATCTGTTCTCCAACATAAGCCCCGTGACCGACGCTAAGCAATGTACCGGTCCAATTGATCCACATTGGTATCATCTCATTGCAGTTCAAGAACTGTCCTAACCATGGTGAAATTGTGGTTGAACAGCCACTGCACGGTGCCATCGAACATCTACGATTTCCCCATCCACCAAGCAAAACATAGGCGTTCTTGGCAGTGGAAAAGTCAGGACCGTCATAGAGATTTATCCTCCCATCGGTGCATCCTTTGACCCGGAAGAGAATCATTGATATATCCTGGACGTCAACGCCGTAGTCATGTGTGTTGTACATGACACGGTTTCCGGTTGTAATGACGTTGATGTTGGTGGAGGAACCACAGACCAGTAAGTAGAATCCTGTAAAATAAATTCAAGTTATTTAATTTATCATTTCTAATTGGTTTGGACTTACGATCTATCGACAGAGTTACTGTGTTACTTATTCAGGGGCAATTGGATTCATGATTCATGAGTCGAATCATCTCCATAGCATCCTTTTCAAAAACGAAGAATAAAAGAACCTGACGCCCGACGTACCGCTCATGATGTGATGTTCCATACCCATCTGTTCGTATACCTGTAGAGAGCTGTTCTGATAAGGTATCTGACTGAACCCTTTATTCGATAAGTATAATAAGTATATCACATGTTTAGAGGAGCCATGGGAAATACATCGTTTAACATATTATCCATTCATAGAATCTGTATTAAAGGCTAGCCAATTATATCTTTGGAATGTTTTGTTACACGTGTCACATGAGTGTAACAGTATGCCAGATTTCTTTAGTGGACTACAGTTGACTTTAACTTACACTTCACTGATTTTGATATCATTAATCCCTAGATTAACACAATTCGATGATTTAGTAATATTACAAATTGAACGAATAATATCAGTACTGGTATCTGATTGACCCCCGTAAAAATCCGGGCTTGAATTAGTCTTCAGCAACCCATACTTGCTATAAGAGACTACTAAGGGTATCGAGTGGTCAAGTCAGGTATCGAATGGTCAAATTAGGTATCGAGTGGTCAAGTCACTGACTTGGTTGGTGCATGTCATCGTATCCAATTACGAGCATGTTCAACACATTGTATGTCGTTGTTGTTAGACGTTCAATCGTTTGTTCTTACCATTTCTTCAAGGCCATATCAACGGTCACAACATTACATGATAACAATGAAGCAAATAGTTTTATTCGGACGTGATATATTACAAACTGGCATTTCTAGTTAGGTCAATTAGGAGATAACCCTACTGTGTTTTGAAATTTGATGTCGCCTCACTGTAAAGCAGATTTATTTGGGAACCGAGCGCTTTACCATGATGGCAACAACGCTTTGAAAACGGTGCTCTCTTGCAACGCGTATCAACACAGGGTACACAGGTCCCCAAACTTAGAACATTCCGAAAAGTGGTCACAGGTATTTAAATTTGCAACAAATATTACTAAAGTTCAGGATAAAAAAAATACCATAGTCTCGAGTTGTTCAAAATAAGTGTTCAAAACACATAGTTTTTCAAAAATAACTTGACAAATAACCCTCTAAACTTTGTCAAAAGATAGATGCTTTAATTCCATCGCAACCTGCTGTGAACTGTTTGTACTTACCAAGTTATTTCTTGGAAATCAGAGGGAGAAGTCACTTCTTGCAAATCGAACATGCCATTTCCATTGTAGAGGTGACAGGTTGTAGAAGTAGTTTAAAAAATGCTTAACGAATATATTTCTACAACAAACTGTATAAATTTACATTCTACTATTTATTTTACATGTGTAAGTCTTATTAGTAAGTTAGCAATTACCCCCAGTATATAAAAAAAAATCAAAATAAACGCCTCTCCACCCCGAACACGCATGTGGCAGAACCTACATCACGGTTACTCACACCCCACAACTCATAATGGCTGACAATGTTGTTGTTTACATTGCCTCGGACAATTAAGTTTCATGAAGCAAGATGACAACCCCGATCTATGATGTGGTTCAACATTAACCTGTAGATATACTGGGGCGGTCGGGTAGCCAAGTGGTTAAAGCGTTCGCTCGTCACGCCGAAGACCCGGGTTCGATTCCCGACATGGGTACAATGTGTGATGCCCATTTCTGGTGTCCCCCGCCGTGATATTGCTGGAATATTGATAAAAGACTTTAACATTTGGGAACACTGATATGGTAGCCTATTGATGTGTAAAGTAATAATTTTGCACCAATATGTAACAGCCCTGGTCATATAAGTGTACTGTAGTGGCACACCCGCCAAGAACCATACAACTGATTGTGTCACGGCGCACCTGAACATCCTTTTACAGAAGTTAACGTGAACCTTTTCAATTTCGTTACAGTATGTAACTCACCATACTTCAGAACAATAACAGAGAATTGGCTGAATCATACAATCAAAACTCTTCTACCATAACAAGGGATTGGACCAACTTTCTTAAAGTAATGTTGAAAGGCGACAAAGGTTTTATCAGCAATAGATCTTAAACAAACCTCCGTCTTACTCCATACACGCTTTGGGGGTAAACAAAAGTATTAAATATATGTAAAAAGGGACTACATTTACCCTGCAAGTACCACTTTAAGAAATACCATAATCTTAGGTTTAGTCACATGTAACCTCATACCAGTATGACTGCAGACATTTTCTGGGGCAGTAATTCTGTTTTGAAACTGTAATGGCGAATCTGCCAGTGAATGTATGTCATCAGCAAACATTGACACCTACATGCCTGGAAGGTCTCGCCTCCATAATCTTCCATATCCTCAACTAGCCTATTGATAAATGAATAACTGGGGACTCAGACTGCAACCTTGACGTGTTCCGATATCACACGTAAAACAGTCGGTCCAACCATAAGTAACTCTATAACATTCACTGAGATTTGAATACATTGAAACTGTATTAATTACCAACCTACCATCAACACTTACATCAGTCTTACTATCCAAGAGAGTATGATGCCTAATGGAGACGAATACCTTTAAAAATAATTAATTAATAAACAATAAAAGCGATCAGTACTTTTACCGGCAGACTTATGAGCAATAGCTCCAAGGCAAAACATATAGATTATTGAATGATTGACTCTAAACTCGGCTTGATACCATTGTTAATATTACGCCATTTTATTTCGAAAAAAATCTTTATTTCTGTATAAATTACCACCAAAGACAATAAATAGATCTTAATTGTGCACCCCCCCCTTTTAAAAAAAAAGCTGTATCCGCCCATGCGGGGATATAATGAACCTGAAAACTGTTTAACTTCATTATCGCTTAGTATATTCATCGATATATTTCCTGCAGGTTTACCTTTCTTTAAGCGTTTCCCAAATACCATTGGGTCATTTCTCGCCTTAATCAACTTCAACTGTCCTGTTTCCTGGTAGTTATATTTCTACTCCGTAAATAATGACTTTACTTTTATGTAATAAATAACATAATATAACGGAAATGAGAGATCAGGTTGGTACACATTAGGATAGTAAAATCCCTTACATACTCATTTCCTTCACAGAGGAAAACATGTTGTATTTTATTACGTTAATGTTTCAAATATCCTGTTTAGACAGGTGTTGCTGCTTCACAATTTGGGTTTTATGGACAAATAACTGGAACTTAAACTTAAGCATAAACCGTACAATGAGAGATCAGATCGGTACACGTGTAGGATTTTAATAATCCAATAATAGAGGAAAGCACATTATTTATTCAAATATCCTATTTAAATATGTGTTGATACCTCACATTAAGGGCTTAATGGACACAAATTGGAATTAAAACTCAAATGCCGAGTATTAACCTTCGAATGAGAGATCTTATATGCATTTCTAAGCGTTAATTCATTCTCGGTCACATCACGAAGTTTCTACTAACTGTAATTTACGTATTGATAAATCTGTGATTCACTATGCTCCCAATTATACGTAACCCATGTATCCCTATCTTCTCTGATAATATTATTATAGATACATATCTGCGGCACAGCCTTGATTAATAGATAACAATAAACTGGAAAATGATGAGTGTGGTCAAAGGAAACGGAGCTGTTGCAGCGGCCATAAAATGCACAATACTCTGGCTGTTATGAGTTTTGCATGTATTTATAGAGGAAACAAAGCAAGTTTCATACAGTGTATTACCAGTGGCGGTCATCGTCAAGAGAGGCAACTCCCAACTCGTTTGGCGTAGGCAGCCCCCTACAGGTTACACACAACCAAATGTTTTCCCATAGACTTCTATAGTAACGTTATGATTTTTTTTTAAATAACTAAGCATTCAACAGCTATTACCTGTACGTGTGTGCACAGTTTGGCCTTAGAGCAGCAATAAAAAAAATAAAAATGACAAGCTTACCCAGCTCCTTTTCCGAGTACCGGAAGCTAAACACACCACCCCCAGTTTCGCACCAAATGTCACCTACTTGAAAATAGCTGTGGTCACATTCAGCATAAGTCATCATGTTGAAAAAGACAGTACTAAATATAGAAGAACATGGTCAGTTTTAATAACTGGATGGATGTACATTTGAAAGACATAAAAATCTTACAGAATATCCTCCAATCACAGCCTGCAGATATCTCTCGATCTGCACTGAAGGCTCCCTACGAAAAACGCACTCTCCAAACTGGTACTGATTTGGTGTAGTAGAACCTGTAGGGTATTTGCTATTCACGTAACAGTAGCCGTTATGTGTGAAGCAAGTAAACTGGCCCTGTATATCATCATGCAGTCTACTATTTAACACATGAATCCCGAATGTACAGCATATTTATTCCATAACTGTTATAGCCACACTGTCCCTGCTGTGTCCCGGTGTAAACCAAAGTTGGCAAAGGACGTTTGTCTGTTATAATTGAACGCGCAATATTCCAGCTATATCTATAATCGATCAGTAAATAATCCAGTCACCATACATAACCAACCGATCTATTTTGTCGCCTCTTACGAGAAGCATCGATTGCTGGGGACCTACATTTTAACTACTGACGTTACATCCTGTGTAAGTTCTTTCACATATTTTTGTAACGAGAAATGGTGAACATGTGAAAAGCTGAAATATAGGGACAAGGACATTCACAAGGAAATGCATACAGCTGTCTCAATATGGCAGCTAGAGGCATGGGACTTTCTATCTAAAAGTCAGTCGTACTGCATTATTTGTAAAGGTAAAATAACCTGAAGTGACGTCATTCGACGGATACTTCAGCAATCATTATAATCACTAAGCAATTCGTATATCGGAGAATTCTAACGAAAAACGACACAAAAGAGTAAGTGAGTGAGTGAGTGAGTGAGTTGGGTTTAACGCCGCTTTTAACAGTATTCCAGTTATATCGCGGCGTGTCAGCTTAATGTGGGAGGAAAGCCCGAAGTGATGCAGGTTTCAGACGTTTACCACTTAGGTGAAACCCACGAGCACGGGTATGGAGCTGACAAACCTAGAAACATAATCCGGGCGAACCGGGATTCGAACCCACAATCATAGGTTTCTGGCGTGCCCAAGGGACGCAACTCTGCAGAGCGAATCGCGGCGCCTTAGACGACTGGGCCAGCCATGCCCCCCAAAAGAGTAAGGATACTCAACACGTAAGTATCAATTTGCCCAACAAGGTTTTCTTCTGTGTGTGGTTGAGGGGTCCTAGAAAGTTAACCAATATTAGTTATATACATTCGTTCACCAAAATATTGACACAGTGATCGAGTGTTTTCCTTATATCTGTCTATTGTATGAATTTGGGGTTGTACTTAACAGATGAATAACACACTGGAGTGCAAAGGTACCAATGATAAAAACTCACATACTTTATTTTGTGTGTGTTTTTCTTTGAAAAGTTTCACATAGAACAGATGAACTCATAAACCCAAAGACCCGCACTCATACAGGTCTAGCTTAACCGAAAACACATATGGAGTGTTTAACCCAACATACAATCACTCAAATGGTTGATAAAATAGACATAACCATTTTTTTCAAAACACATTTCGCAGGACTTCACCAAATTTGATATCATAACACTCAACTCCATTTCCGGCGCACTTGACATAATTACATATGTACAACGATTTCGGATGTAACTTAACTTCAAGTCACAGTTTCACCTTTGCCAACTTAGTTGCAAATTACCCATGTATGGTCGAACACCGTGAACATGCAACCTAGAGAAGTGTTAGCTACGCTGATTACACAGAAGTCTTAGAATCGGGTGGAATATTATGAGAAAATAGAAATACCATAGATGTTACATATTGGTATACTTTGCACATCAAATTGGAGATTGTGAATTTGTTTTATGTCAGCATACATGTACTTCGTTTGTGAGAACAATGTATTGTACGATGTAGCACTTAAACACCTTAAACAGTGAATAAACTTGGACATTTTTTGCGTGAAATCTTTATTCTTTTCTCCTGAACTGCAAGCATTTCATGCACATATCTCGAATTGTCAAAGCTGGGTTGAAGGTCCCCATATTCACTGTGCAAGAGGATGACATTATCATGTACTCTATTTTTACAGAAGAAGAAGAAGAAGAAAATATTTTTATTAAGGTGTCGCATGATATACATACATAAGGTCAAACAGTTAACAACAATTATTGTATATCATCCGGCCGATATGGCCTATCATATGGGACACCAAATATCTCATACGTACAAATAAAAGCACATAGTGTGCTTAAAACACAAAAAAGAAAAAAATGAAAAAGACATTTAAAATAAACGATGTAAAACGTGTAAGAGGCACGGGTGCGCGACATGTATCCCGCATTAAGTAAATGATTGGATAGATATAGGTAAATAAAATAGATGGATAGATACAACTACATGTGCAACAGTCATAGCAATGCGAGACAGACGACGTGCGCCCGGACCTATGGCATATTACTAGTTATTGTAAAATGCTTTCTACGCTGAAACATCCGGTTCACTAAAGCGGCAAGGCTTGCCGATAATTCATCGTATTGCAGTAAGAAGGCGAGCTGGTCAGTAGGAGACATAGCCACAAAAAAATTGGGTTAATTTAAGACGCTTGATGGAATAAGTTATATCTTAGGTCTGAATAAAGGTCACAAGTAACTAAAAAGTGCGTTTCGTCCTCAACTCTATCTAAGTTACAAAACTTACAGGTACGTTCTGTCAGAGGTGTTATAGGGCGAGAGAATCGGCTAACTTCAACTTCTAACGGAAGAGTGCCACAACGAAGTTTAGCTAAACAGCTACGGTTTGACCTGTTCCAGTTATTGTTGACATAAAAGGAAGTATGAAGCGTCTTCTTGAATAATCGAAATGTTCGGAGTTTATTACCGTTAGGCTGACCAGAATCGTTCCATAAGGCACTATGCCACCTTTCACCATCAATACTAATCAGTTTTTCTTAAATAATATGTAAATCTCTCGGTTAGACATTATAAACATCTAAACCAAGAAGCTGTAAACTATTAAGCATGTTTAGCACAGTGTTATCCCAGAATTTACTGAATTTAGCTATTTCTTTTGCGATATAATTTAAGTCGAGATGTTCCTGGAACCAAAGCCCGAGGTATTTATAGCTCGGAGCGATGTCAATCAAATTTTCACCACAGTTAAACAAATAGGTAGTTTTTGCGACACTCGGAAGTCTATAATGAACGATCTTAGTTTTATATAAATTGATTTGCAGTCTCCAATTTTTACACCAGTCCGCGACACAGTCCAACATAGACTGGAGAGAGCGCTCGTCAGGGGCTATAAGTGCAATGTCGTCCGCATATAATAATAAACTTAGCATTGTACCGTCGACGTCTATACCGCAGTGAAGATTGTTGATTTCATGCGCCAAATCATTAATTAATACGGAGAATAATGTGGGAGATAAGACGCACCCTTGTCTGACGCCGCTTGATACGGGGAACATGTCTGTGAGATGACCGTTTACCGACACACACGACTTAGTTTTTTCGTACAACGATCTAACTGCAAAATAAAACTTTCCGCCAATACCCAATTTTAACAGTTTATACAACAGACAGTTACGGTTCACCCGGTCGAAAGCTTTCATAGCGTCAATGTAACACACGAAAGTAGATTTCTTAATTGCCTTTCTGTTGTTAATGACTGAGTAAAGTGTATGCAGATGATCAGTTGTGCTTCTTTTTGCGCGAAAGCCATTTTGCTCTTCTGCAAGAATTTCGTTGTCGTCCAGCCATTTTGTAAAGCGGATGTTTAATAAGTCAGAACAGAGTTTACACGGAATACATATCAACGATATACCACGGTAACTAAGAGGATCGTCGGCGATAGTATCTGGCTTTTTGATAGGGGTTACGATGCTTTTTTGCCAAGTGTCCGTGGGATTTGATCACTGCCAGGGGACTTACCAAGCTTAGTACGGTTAATAACATTAACTACCTCCTCCCGTGTTACCGGAGCATTTAGACTGCTAACGTCATATTGCTGTTGGTTAGTAGAAGTGCTATTTACATCATATACAATATTTTCATAAAATAATTCATCAAACGAGTCAGTAGTATCTGCATTATACAATGATCAATAATCAGTTTTCCATTTCTCAAGAACAACTTTTCTATCCGTAGCAACAAACCCATTTAGAGTTACCTCCCAGGGTATTGAGCCACGCCTATCGTTAGCAATACCGAGTTTACCAATGGATTTCCAAAACTCGCGGGAATCCTTATGCTGGTACTTATCCATCAACCGCTGTTGTTCCTGCAACTTAAATAACCGTTTTGATTTTCTCAACCGCTTATCAAAGGATTTCCTTTTATTACGATACTTAACTTTCAACGATTTCTTTAGAACAGTAGATCTGCATTTTAACCACTTACGCTCACAGTCTTTAACAATATCCCACAATGACTGTAGTTCGTCATTCTATATTTACATATACAGTCAAGTCGCGTTAATCCGACACTCGTTAATCCGACAATGGGCTTTATCCGACACTAATGATGGGATATTTTTTTTATTATTACGTGTTTGTATCGTTATCTTGTCCGATTTTCGATCACGCACGTTGATACTAGTTAATTTCGTTTATCCGACATACTCGTTAATCCGACATAATCACATGCAACCAACAATGTCGGATTAACGGGACTTGACTGTATTTACCTGTAATGATGTTGATGCTGAATCCCATCTTCATATTCACGCTTAGAAAATAATCGAATCAACTGGTTTAATACACCTTTGTATTCTGCGTCTCTCGTCGAGAAATGTCTACCTCCAATTACTTTGAAACATCAACAGTTATGTAACCATATAGAACCAAATCACCATGGAAGTATTGACAATCTGTGGGCGAGTATCCAAGGGGAATAACAAACACTTCATCAATGGCTCCCATCTCTGTGACACATATATTGATCACCTATTATGTCACTTTAATTGCCTGTGTACTAAGATTTAATTGGTGTGTGTGTCCAACTAGTTACATCTTTCCGTTCGTTTTGAATTCAGAAAAATATAATGCTGCTGCAGTATTTCAATGAGCAAAAATATTAAGTTTGAAAAGTAAAAACATTGTGTTGACGATAATGAACACAGACACTTTGTTAGTTGTAGATTAATTTAAAACTGAATTTAAATGAGTTTTAAAATTCGTTAAGTACAAAATTTCTCAACTCCTTTACATCAGTGAACTTTATGATTTATTATAAAATTCAATTTGAAAAAGTTCTCAAACTTTGAAGATTACTAAATTTTGACGTTTTAAAATGTTAAATAAAACTATCCAAAAGACGAATGATGACTTTAGAGCGGCGTTAAACAACAAACAAACAAGGTGAAAAACTGACATGCCTTTGCATATGTGCCACCGGTGGGGTAGGATACGCTTACATCTTCGCGAACACCTGGAGTCATAACTATTTGATATTGATTTTTAAGCATACGCGCACGATATAGTGGGAATCGAACAGTGGACTCTGCTTTTCACAGAACTTATTTATGATTATGAAAAGGGTTTCGTAACTTTTATGTAAGTCATTGACATTGCAAGGTCCGTACTATTGACATATATGCCAATCATAGATTAACGCCCTCCGCATTTGTTGTAAGTTATAACAAATTTACAAATAAATACAGAAATTTACATACATGTATGTGTATATACGCTGATAAAACCAATGCTAGAATGAAAGGACTGACAAATTGAGAACGGATAAATGAATGTTTTCTGTAAGAACCATCGTCTGACAATACGAAGCTACTACTATTGGCAGATGAGGTTAGATTTAGATGTTGTAGGACCATAACTACGCTACAACGCAAAAGTTTGTTATAGTTTTCTGCAGTAAAATAGCGAATAATTCGCGGATAAGCTGCAAATAATTCGTGAACAAGTGCAAATATACATAAGCTTTGTACATTCGTACAGCAAAATATTGACACAGTGATCGAGTGTTTTCCTTATATCTGTCTGTTGTGTGAATTTGGGGTGGTAGTTAACAGGTGAACATAACACACTTGAGTGCAATTGTTTTTTTCTTTGAAAAGTTTCATATAGAACAGGTGAACTCATATACCCAAAGACCCGCACTCATACCTGTCTAGCTTAACCGAAAGTACACGTGGAGTGTTTAACCAAACATACAATCACTCAAATAGTTGATAAAATAGACATAACCATTCGTTTCAAAACACATTTCGCAGGACTTCACCAAATTTGATATCATAACACTCAAGTCTTAGAATCAGGTGGAATATTGTGTTATTATTCCTTAAGAGGGAAGCAAAAATATAATCACTCGTGTGACGAAATATACAGGATATATAGAAATATACATAGAGGATTCATCACGAGTGTTTTTAATATGGGAAATATCAACCGAGTCTTAGTTAATCGGTATTCTAGAAGGCCACTACCATTCAAATAACCTAGTAAAGCACGTAATTCTCGTCAACTAAGGCTGTCAAATCAGTCTGCTTCAGCTACCATACAACCTCCCTGTCACAACTGTGTCATCTTAATGTGGGAGGAAAGCCCGAAGTAATACAGGTCTCAGATGTTTACCACTTTGGTGAAACCCACGAGCAATGACATGGTACTGACAAACCTTCAAACATAATCGGGGTGAGATATATTCCAAGACAAATATATAAAACGTCAACGACTGAGATTATCTGACGAAACAGGAATTTGAACAGATATAAGTAATGGCTTATAAATTACCATCACTTATGCGTTTGTGACGGCAGTTGCCGAGATCTTCTTAGGTACCACCAGAACAATCAACAATATCACATTCTGAAAGTTAAATTTACTGTACAATCGATTGTTCGTGTTTTCCAATTCTAGTATAAACTTTCTTCCAAATAAAAGCGACAAACACCTTTCCATCCAGCAGACATCTCTACTAAAACAGTCTGTTTTCAGATGCCGATTCATTATAAGCTTGTGTTTCTGAATCATTATCAAATGGAAAGCGAGTGAAAAGATGAGCGTCTCCAGCCAAACCGAGTGCGCCAGTGAAATATAGATAGCCAATTGTTAACCTGAAAAACACACACGTGAGCGTATGGTAGAAGTCAAGATAGGGAATTTCATAGGACACTGAGGTGCCAAATTTGGAAATGTCCCCCGCTTGTATACTATAAATTGTTTGAAAGCTGTACTTAGGCACTGGACGCTGTAAACCTAGCAAACCAAATTTTGAGCAAGAATCACATGACGCCCTTTGAGTCCGGTTCCAGTAAGGGGTATTTGTTCGTTATAATGGTTCTCGATCGTGCTAAAAGGTTTCATAAAAAGCATCAAGATATGCATCAGTACTGACATTAACAACATCAGCAAAGCATTATATTTTCATAATAAAAATTAGTAAAGCAGAAAATCCCATATGGACCTGAAAATGTGTTTTTTGAAAATATTTGCATTATGAGACAGTCAATACTGTCATTATCTCGGAAATCTTAGTACTTTAGGATACTCAGATAGCAGACAGATTGATCAGTTGTTTAAGCAATGGGATGGCAATTTAATGGACCTGTGATTTTTAACGGAAAATGTTTAAGTGTCGGGTGCTTTTTCAAACCCCATCATACTTATTCATGATGGAATAATCGACTGGCAATATTAAATGAGATAAAGATATTGATCTGAAATGACGACAATTACATGACGGAAATAGGCGTAAGTGCCTTAAGTTTATCACTTTAATCAATCTATTTCCAATATGTCTTCACCAGAGGCCTTTGTGTTTTCACGGTTTGAGTACAGACAGGTTTTGTTGCTTAACAGTTAACATTATAGTTGTTACTTGATGTGCATAATACAAAAAGATTCCCATATATAATATTTTGAAACTGTCAATGATGAAAGCATTTTACATTTTATGGTGTTATGACATATTTAGAAATTACTTTTTAAGTACACTTGCCTTTAATTACGATATGCTTGACATTTTCTTAAATTTTATTATACATTATTTTGACTTCAACATTTAACTTCTAAATAATAACAACTTCGAAATCGAGGGGTAATTCTAATGTACTTGTTGGCATAAATCTCAAATAATTTTTAGTTTTCAACAGCATAACATTTTTAGACTTGACTTAGATTAACAATACCAAATTTGCTGAATTTCTTTTTAGCGTTGTTGTAATTGACGGCCAAAAGAAACTTTACCTCTTTAAAAATTGAAATTGCAAAAATTCAAAACACATTGTCCAAACACAACACTGCGCTATGCAGAAAGTGATACACGTCCACGACACGTTTGTCGAAAATGCGAAAAAGTGAAAACAACTTTCCGTTTGAGCAGCCGAAACTACACGTGCAATAACTCACACTGATAAACAAACCACCACAGAAATGCCATAAACTGACACCAGAATCACGCGAACGGACCCTGGGCATGATACAGATGGGAGCCACCCATGCCCACATTGCAAAGAATTGCTGTAACTAACCTGATGCAACGTTACAGACAAAGCGGGCAGACATCAGACAGGCACACCAAGGGTAACTACGCCCAAAGAAGGTCAGTACTTGCGTATTTTGCATATCCGGAATCGATTCTTGACAGTGAAGTTATCATCGACAAATGACTCAGGGATCAATTAGGGCTTACAGGCATTACGGAGGACACTTATTGACAGACAGTGCAACATTGTCGTCAGAGATTGAAATGGGGTTGGCAGCGACGTGACTGGCAGAGGGTGATGAAAACTGTTCAGAGCTGATGGAAGACAACGTGTTTACCACCGAAGGGGTGAACGAACGGAAGCATGTTGCGTAGAGAGGGTGTTATAGTGTGGGGAGGAATTTGTAGGCAGGAGAGAACATCAGTGGTCATCGTTAATAAAAATTTGAGGGTTAGTGTTACATGACATTCTGTGTCCGATTGTCTGACCATTTCTAAAACAGCTGCCACGTGGTGTCCTTCATTAGCATGACACTCTCCCTACAGCCCGAATCGTCAAGCACTTCCTTGCAGCCAACAACGTCAACGTGTTGCTGTGGCTTGCACGCTCCCCATACATGTCCCCCATAGAACACCTCTGGGATGTCATGAATCGTCGTCTTTGACAGCAACTACATTTTACATCCAACCGACAAGAACTGATCTAGGCAATTTGATGCGAGATGTGAGTTGAAGTGAATTGGGGTCGCTATACCATTTTTTCCGAAGTGCAGGCATCATCATCATCATCATCATCATCAACGTTATCAGTGTCAAAGCGGTCTGTGTTTGCATTGCGTAGAACCAATCAATTAAAGTAATTTAATACTACATGTCATTATACCTGAGCGTGAGTTGTACATTTTCAATATTATAAAAATGTAAAAATTATGTGAAGATTATTGGAAACCAAACTCATGAAAATCAGATCTTTTGCTCCTTTTCTAAACCTCTGTGTGTGGAGATCTTAACACCCCCATAGGAGGACTTATTGGAAAGAAATTACATGTTGATCATATAAACATAATATTAATTATGACGAGAGAATTAATTATTCATTCATATAAGACATATCGGCAATATTTACACCAGATAATGATGAGTTATTCTGATGAAAGTTCAGTGTAATAGGCCCAATAACTGCCTTTTGATGAAGATAGAACTAACAGGTTTAGATAATATTGTCTACATGGAGTAGTTACAGGTGACAGTTTCAGGCTGAAGGTGGCGTAAAGGGACTAAACTTTAAGACATAACTTGTCCCACAATGAAATGGGGAGGATGTGTGCCAAGGACATGCTAGATGGCCCGAAGAGAACGTGCTGTGAAAAATCA